AGTTTTATCTGAACTTTTATCGTTATATTTATCGCAATAAAGGACTTTAGCAATTTTGTTCGGATAAGGCATTAGGGGACTTAACTTTAAAATTAAATAACAATATGAAGGGCGATCCGAGCTTTAATAAAGCTTTTGAAGTTTTACATTGAGCAGCAGTAGATTGAATAAATCACTAAAATGAGCGGGTCTCATTCTTCGCACACGGCATACCCCTGTATCATTATAGGGTCTGTATTTGAAAACACAATTAGACTTAATACAGAGGTGATCGTCGGCGAGGGTCGGGCTAGAGGGGTTAGTAAATCCTTTAATTTGGCTCCCCGATCAAATAATACAGCAGAGGGGCAGCGAACGATAGCGCGTTTAGTGGTTTTATTGCAAGCGCCATCTGTCGCGCGACTCACTTGTCAGATGGAGAGATAATTTCACTTTTACAGCGAGGGGAGACGCCCGAGCTCATTGCGGAGTTCATTTAAACAATTCACAATGTTGTATCAGCTTCTAGATACGAGATATGGCGATAACACACCCTGTGGGACTCGTAACGATAAACGACTCGCGCTCTCGCAAACCTGCTTTCAATTAACTGTCATTTCATATTTTATGCTGTTCGACGAAATGTTATTTTGTATTTGGAACCCTTTTTTAAGCAATTTGAATTCGAAAGACTAAGCAATGCTTCCATCCCAAAGCTTAGAAAACAGTAAGCGTAGACTCACTTTTTAAAGTATGAAAGCCAAAATAGATTTACAAGATAGCCTATTAAGTTTATTGGTTTTACAAAGCTCAATATACAGGCTTTGGGGTATCGTTAGTATAGTTATTAGAATGTCGTTATTATAAAACAGAAACCGCGCAATGAAATCGTGAAAAAATAAGGAAAAGGGATCCATCCTAAATCCATTATTAGATTTGTTGGATGCTTACGTTTCCATGGTGGCTGGGAAGGTCGAAAACAAACAGGATTAGGGGCAAGAGACTCCCCGGTTGTTTCATTATAAATAGTAGCTAAGCGGATCGGGCACGTGCAATGTTTTTATCAGGAGAGCTGCGGGCGCGGGCGCACCCTAATGCAAGGGTAAACAAGTTTCCACCCCATCTATGAATAATTTGAACGCATCAAACAACCAACTGCTATCGAAACGTCACAACCATCTACATAAAGTTAATTAACTGAGTTAACGTTTGTTTTTTAATTTTATTAAGTCTATATATTACATTCGCTTAAATGGATTTCTGCAGAAACTGGTAAATAAATTTGATCTACGTTATATCCTAAGCAGTTGTTGTATTATATGTAAAACCATTTATGTCTAAAATATTATGTCGACAATGCCAAAAGCCCGTAAATCTTGCAAAGTTATAAGACAAGTGCTGTTACGAGGAGACATAAAGTTACTTAACATGAACAAATATGGCCCTTAGGTGCCTATATTTTAAACAAAATATTGGAGTATCCACGTTTTAACGGAATTTTAAATAAACTTAAGAATATGAAAAAATATATATTACGAAAAATACTTGCAAAAATGCCAATAACATATTAATTTTATAATTATTATCGTAAGTTAGTTTTCTTATCATTTAATTATAGTTGTTATTGATCAAATGAATTTTATGGATTATCTTTATTAGGTACAATTAAAGCAAACGAAGCCAATATTATTTGTCAAGCACAAAAAAATACAGATTAAATAATTACATTATTGAGAAGCAGACTTAAACAAACACGAACCGAATGTTCGGCCAAAATTCGGTTTCTGTTCAAATGGCTCATCACTAGGACGACAACGCGCGGATTTCGTTTTCCGCATGAATGATATTTCATGAGCCTGTGGAATGGGTGATATGTGTATTGAAGCGTTTCGCGCAGGGGTGTCAACGCTCGTAAAACACGGTATAGTATTTCATCGACACTCCCCCCCCACCGCTATTTGTTCAGCATAACCCTATTGTTCCCTCTCGACACTTCATGAAATCACTGCGGCGTTATTAATTTATAACTCTTCAACTATTGACTCTTGTTCAACACATTGCTATTGTCTGTTAAAAATTAATATTGGAAGTGTTGTTGACGATTTTTTTAGGTACGATAAAATTCAGTTTTAATCGGGAAAAAGTAATATTGAAGTTGAATTCAACTAGCATTTTTATTTATAACCTTTTATATATATATATATATATACTAATATAGTATGTGACAGTTGTTACTTCATAGCAGATGTCAGGTACCGTGTCTGTTTGCCCTTTTTTGGAGAAGGCTTCCCCTACAAAACTAACGCTTTTAAGCTCAACTAGTTATGAGAGAATACTGACGACTATATAATAATAGTATTCCCTAATACCTACAGTTATTATGTCCACGTTATACGCAAGCAAAGGAGATTATCTGCGTAACAAAAGTCGGACGTATCTCTAGCATGGATAACGACGTAGAGTCGTAGAACAATAAGCGTCCGTGTCGATTCAGTCACACAACGACGAAACAATCAATTGACAGAGTAAGTAGGTGTAATTCGGCACGGTCCGAATGCGCTCCGGCCCCGCGACTAACAAAAGAAAATCTAAGCAATTAGTCGTCGCCAGAAAGAGCGGAAAACGCGCGTTAGAGACGGTCACGCCGGGCCGAGTCACGATGCAATCTCGACGAGCGACAAAATCGACCTTAACGCCTTCGGTAATGACTAGAGATGGCCTTGAAAGTTCGGTTAAGAGGCGGAATATGGAGCGCGTTTAGAATTGAACTCTTGTTGGAACGATCTAGTGAGGGCAATTCTGATAACAGTGATATTACACTTATCGCCGCATAAATGGAATCATTCTTAGAAACTCACACAATAATTTGATTTAATCAATACACTATAACGGTTTAAAATGCAAAATATATTAGTTAAACTTATTAAAAAATTATTATTAAACAATTCCTTTTCAAAACTAAAATGTTTATAAATGTACTTGATAAAAAATTGCCTATGAGTTACACTAGGGACTTGGATAAGAAATATCGAACAAAACCGTCGAAAAACCATATGTCAGATTAATAAGACAAAACGCAACTGGAGTTACAAACTTACGACCGACACAATAAAGCGTAAAAGTCGTCGTCCTATATCACTTCTTTGGTAATAGCCCCCAACGCTAGTGATAACTAAATTTTTAACAAGTCGTTAAAAAGTAACAAGCACCCGCATAGCTAGACGAGAGAAGGGGTGCGTTCCGATTCCCGCTCGACTGAGCGTGTTAAGTGCTAATGTAATAATCCATTACAATAAAGCGCGGCACTGTACGCTAAATAGCGCTTTCGAGCAGAACTGGGCCCGACATCTGCCCGCCGCACCGAACAATACGACCCTTCTTAATCACCCTACTCGCCGGTCTGCGCGACCCTAAACAAATATGTACCCGAATCCCACCCCTGCCTTATAATTTTGTACGAAAACTTATAATGATTTAATTATTATCATTTTGTTATAGTTTTCATTTAATAGTGGGATAGGATACGTCTAACATATTTGAGATTGTAACGCTTTTTTTTATATACATTTCTTTAAATATATAAAATAGATAGGGACCATAGTTGAAAGTTGTTTGTCATAGTTGCGTAAGTTAGAAAATAAGTTTTTGTTATATATGAACTTATTCTTTGTACGCATAAAGAAATAAACATCTACACAACTTGTATGTAACTTTTCTTTACATTTATTTTCTCGTTTATAATTTATGATATTAAATAAAATTAAAAAGTAAATATTGTAGAACTGGTAATTGTATTAATGAATGACTCAGGTATAGCTTTGATAATTTATCTAATACTTCTCCAATGATCGTGGGAAAAATGAAACCGCGTAATGAAACGAAAAAGTGTTTCTTATTAAGAGGCGAGCGTCGTAAATTGATTTTGTTTCCGTTTAGAGGACGTGTTGCAAGGCTTTTATTAAAAGTGGGGTTCGAGCGTAGCGAAGGGGTCGGCGAGCGTAAAATCAACAGATTACGGGACCCCTGCGAACTACAGCCCTAGGAGCGAAAGAACCCTCGGCGCATAAAAGTAATAACTCGTTGCCCTCTATTGTGCCTGCGGCGAGGGTTGTCAGGACAAATATTATTCATTATTGTAGACAAATGACAGAAAAGGTAGGTAATGTCTGTAGTTTACGCGAGTACCTACACGTTTAAATAAAACATTTTTTAACGGGTTAAAACGCGTAACGTATTAGTTAATTAAGTTACTGTTTCAGTTAAAAGGTAAGTAATAATTTTAGGGAAAAATTGTGTATAATTTGTTGCAATTCATTGTCGAACATATGAAACCTGATTTTGTAGCTCATATTCAAGAAAATTAAGATAACTTTGGAAGTAATTTAGTACATGCATTTATGATGATATATCATATGAGTTACTTATTAATTTAAAAATAAATTTTGTAATGACATCGTAGAAATTTTATCTGTTAGTGGTAACCCTAACTAATCCACATTTTGTAAACTTCACTAAGCGTCCCCAACGAGAAGATATACGTGTATTATCTCCGCGCCACTTGCACACATTAGGGGGATCGCAGACGATCCCTATAATATATCGATAACAATACGCCGCATAGAAATAAACGCCGTCACAACATCGAATCACTGCACTTTGCAATTTACGAAGAGGTTCTTCTTTTTCATTCACACTGGCGTAGGAAACAAAGGAGGTTGTAAATTAAAAAGCGAAATGTCAACAAAACGCGCCCGTACTTTGTGGGTGTCCGTCCGCCCTCCGCCGGGCTGCCCACGGCGCCCACTCGAACAACGCTACGACGGACGCTGAGCGCAATAACAGTTTTTTCAGCTTTCCACTTTTGTAATCATTTATACAAAGACTCGTGTCGAATATGATTTATATTTTTAATTTTGTGTAACTACCCACTATGCAACCGACGTTGGCATGTGGACTTTAATAAATTGTAAACCATTATATATTAATCAAATATATTCTAAAAATAAGTGAAGATAAATTACCTGTTTATGCATTTCCACGTTGAGTCCGTACGACATTTCATAGTACTGAAACACAAACGGCACAGATTAAAAAGATCAATGACATTAGTGGGCAAACAATGTAGACGTGACACAGAAAGCATTTGGCACGGATTAGCTTCCTCAAATCATTTGAGTCGAGTGACTAAACATCCGCAGAACATTTTGGCGAACCGCCAGAAGTGTTTCCGACATATAAAAACTCCGCGAAAATTTCCTCCGGAGCGTATTAAAATAAATTGCAGGCGATTTGGCAACACTTAATCGTGATTCATATCGGGTGGAACGGAACGAGCGCGGGAATTAGGGGCTGCCAAATATCTATTCGCTTTACTTGAAAAATGCCACTACTTTTCTTTGACGGGCCCCTATCCGATGGTAATTTATGGCTAGTAATCAACGGGTCGTGGATTCATTTCCCGTTAAGTCCAATATATTTATATAAATCACTTTCTGCAAAAGTCTAGGCAGTAAATAGGTGGAAACGATCGAATCTCCATTCAGGTCAGGAACCACCGACTTTGGTAGGCGTGGTCCCGGAGTAATCCAAGGGCTGAACCGTGTATCAGATTCAGTCCATAGAGTCTGAATGTCAAAAGCTGAGTGTTGACAGCGCATTTTTTTTATAAATTATAAGGATATACCTTCCATCAAGTGAAGTTCTGAAGTTGGTTTAAAAAAATCAAATAGGTAGCTCCAATTTTAATTAAAGGATACTTATGGCTACTGCAATTTCCTGTTCCAAACTCGAAAGCATTAATTTGCCACTAAACCACAACTTGTTTCTTTAAATTTTAATTCTTAATACCTAGTATTGATCATGTAATGTTTTAATCTCAGTCACAACATTCATATAATCCATTTGTCTGTACATTAAACAGTCATATCATAATTCTAAAACAGTCGCAGGCAATAATGGAGTGCAGTGGGTGTCATTCATAATGAACAGGGCACTTGTCACGCGAGCGTACATATTATTCATGTCAACGATTATCTCTAAATAACGGGGGGATATATTATAATGGACTGTCCGATCACTTGGAAACAGTACGCTCAATATGCGGGCGTCGAACAATAGATACTAAGTATCAGGCTGAGTACCTATTGATTGTAAACTAGTTACTCTAGATTGCTCGTGACTGCGTCGTAACTTTGAATAAGTTATTTCAATAACGTTTTTTACTCACCATTACATAGTGCCTTTGTATTTCAATTTTCTCGCTGGCCAGTTTTTCACATTCTAATTTTAAACTGTAACAAAAAACAAACAAAAATTACGCGAGTGGAACACGGTTTAAAAAGCAATAAAAACGAAATCCAGTTTTCTACCGCGCATTGGACACACACCTTTGTGTTCGTTTCACTATTTTTTCTTTATACTAAGTTTTCTTCAGTGCCCTACCCGACCGAAACAATTTATAGTCTCCTCGGGATTCGAACCTAGAACCTCTCGCGCTGAACGCAATGCTAGGTAACACGATTAACCATTTTAGTGGTGATACAAAAAACAATATGTATAATGTACCTATATAGATATTCGACGTTAGGCGTACCTAACAGCATCGAGAGCCGTTTGAAACCGTTAAAAGGAACTTATTTATCTTATATATATAATGTATTAACATCGCAACACAACATAATATTTCCGTATTAAAGATGTTCACTGAGCACTTAATATGTTTTTATTGACATACCAAACTTGTTTCATAAACCTTATCGAGTTGGTCAAACGTGTAATCTTTATCGGGCGCCGTTCTCGTTAAATAACCCGCAGGCCACGTATAAGATAAATTTTATTCAATTACAGTAGGAAACACTTATCTCGCCCGACAAGATTGAAGTCGTTTCGTTCTTAGAAAACTTCTCGGAAGATTATTCACGTCGTTGCGTGCGAAATAATCCGGCGGTTACCTGCTCGAGTCGCGATGTTTCTCTTAACAAATAAAAGGTCACAAAGGGATCTGAATGTGAAAAAGGACTATTTAGCGTTCACAAAGGGAAGATAAGAAATGATTCCGCTGATACTCGACGACAGAAGGAATCCCGGATAAGCCCTCTTAGACGTTTTATTTTTGTATGTGCTCGAGATTTAAGTGTATTCCGATAACGGGTTATCTCCGTCGTCGGGTTGTCACATGAATGTCGATACGGATCTTGTGAAAATATTTTCACTAGAACGGAACTGTTTAGTAATATTTACTTAAGTGTTTCTAGTTAAGAAAATATATAACTCCTAAATGTAGATAGGGCTACTCACTTGTGATACTGAGCCTGAAGGAAGTTGAATTCTTCTTTGATCCTGTCACAAGATTCACCCACTGTGAATTTGATGGGTTGGCCCGGTTGCGGTGGCCCCTGCTGACATATACGTACGTAAATACATTTGTTTGGGTTAAGATAAGAACTATTTAAAAGAAAATAAGTAGCATATATTTATGCTCATAAAAGAACGTTAATAAATCTGACCTCATATGGTGTTGATTTATTATTAACAATACTCAAACGTCTAATGTTGGTATTTTAATGATACTGTAAAAGTTATTGAACATATAAAAAGCTCTCTAACATCAGTACCAGAAAAAAACTATCACGAAGCAGAAATTACACGCATCCCAAATTACCATAATACAAATTATCCTTTAATGACCATAATTCGGTGTGAGGCTCGATTGAAAAAAAAAACAACCGACGCTCGCCTCTTAACACACAAATAAAGCAACGCGAACACGCAAGAACTTAGTAATAAAGCGAAAAAAACCAACTCCATAATAAGAAGCCGGAGAATAAAAATAAAGCGAGGAATACAACAACACACGGTCGCCGGGAGGCCGGGCGGCAAAAAATAAATAAGCATCGCTCGGCGCGAGAGGAACAAACGGACTTTAAAAATAATAAAAGGAGCGTAAAAGCGTAAAAGGAACTAGCGCGGCATGTAGACGTTGTAAATGGAACTACGGACGGTCGGGCCCGGGAAAAATGCGGCGGGAATTTAGTGAATGCGACCGCTGTAGTGAGGCCTGCGGTCGCGCGCCCCGCACCGACTGCCGTAATGGGCGATCGCACTTAATAACGTAATACCGAGGACGACCGCGAGAAATCCGACCTTTTACGGCGCCATTATCTACGAAACATTTATTGGCCGTCGACATATTTATCGACATTTTAAAGAGCTCATTACTCATTCGTAAAGTATCACAATACATTAGCCAAACATTAAACACGTCACGAGCGAAACAAAAAGAGTAGCCATTTCGACGGATTCGACCGCACGCAGTGAGACATCGCGCGTTCGCGTATTGCCCGGTGTGCACTTAACTTTATACAAGCCTGAATAATTTGTTCACGGAATACTTTGCAGTTTTATTGGCGCGCTAAAGTACAGAAATAACTTTATTAGTTTAAACAAAGATGGGTGCGGTATTAGAATGTTTTATTTGAAGTTAAGACGAGAAGCAAAGAACAGATGCATCGCATATTGGTTTACTGATAATAAACGCCGTTTTAATTATTCGATTCGAGGAGTAACGAGTACACAAAATGTCGATGAGTCGACGTTTGTTTACGGGTTGTGGGTTATTTTTATCGAACGACGTGTCCGCCTTTCTATATCTACCACAAACATATGGAACGGATAGCTGCTAGCCCATGCTTCTAGCATGCATTCTATCCCATATTATAACGGTAAAATACACATTTTAAGGTATCCATTAAAATAAAAACGTTAACGTGAAATAAATTAGGTATCTAACTCCCGTTTTAAACTATACAAAATACAAGTTATTTTAATTGTTTGTGATCGAATGTATTTTTGTACAACAACACTGTTAAAACGACAAACGCAACAGGATTATTCGAACCCCTCGTTTCTCATGGAGCGGCCGCTCCGAGCTAAATCGATGAAAAAAACTTCAATAATCCACGACTATAATAGACTGGGTAAACGTTTCTAAAGAAGGTTCCAATAAATTATCGCCGAAAAGGTCAAATTATAATACAATGAGCAGTTTTTGAGTGTCAGTATTGTGCGGAGGGCCGGATGAAAGGCCCGCGTCCCTACAAAAACAAAACTAAACAGAATGCATTTAAACGGATATAAAAAGAAATAGGTGTATTTCGAATTATTGAATCCGTCTGCCTCTGTCTACCTGTTCGTCGCCGGCTGATCTTTTGTTGGAATTCGAATCAGTTAACTGAATGGGATCAAACCGTTTATATTATCTGTTGGAATTCATAATACAGATATAGCTAAGTATTAATGTATTTTATAATTTGATATAAGCAATGAACAACAATCTACTCGTCGCCTTAGTTCCAAAATATGTTTACGCTGAGATCGTACAGGGAGATATAAAAAAATACGTTTAAATGAATATCTATATGTTGATTATCTAATATAAGTAGATACTGCAGCACTGCGTTGGGTAAACATAAAAACACCATTTGCACTCACAAACTAAACAGGCAGAAACAAATATTTAAACAAGAAGATTGGCCCCTATGCCCGATTTAATTGCTGAGCAATTTTGTACTCAGTGCCTGTCAGTTTAAGCTCTACAAAATAAAGCGTAAGTATAAAATTTGTTTCTCCGTTGAATAAATAAGCTTGTATGTGCAAGCTGACATGGTAGCGCCCAGCGGGGTTTTGAAAGCTTTTATCTTAATAAGGTGATCAAAAACTTGGCACCACAGATCCAACATTTAGATGGCTTTTTATAAGCTTTATTGAAATTCTGCGCATATCTTATTGCGTAGTATTAAAATTTCTTAAATATAACTTTAGCTTGACGGAAATTTCCTTCTACAATCTAAAACAAATATCAGTTACTTATTTTTAACACAACAATAGTGTTCGGATCGCAATCGTATGCTTTGCAGTTAAATTGTTTTATTGACAGTGTGTAGTTGTCGCATAAACTAGGGAGAAATGTTTCTGCAGCAATATTGTTCTTAATTCAATGCTTATCAAACTACGCACCTCTATTTGAATCAAAATAGCCAAAATTGTATTAGGAGAATATGAAATAATCTAAGATAACATTTTGATGGCATATAGATTACGATGAAGCATTGTTAGCGTACTCCAAATACGGTGTTTGCTCGCTGATAAAGCCGTTATCTCGACACAAATGTAGGGAATTATTTCAGAGGAACGTTGACTCAAGGAACCCCGCTTATCTGATGAAATGCGACACGCGACGTCATTCCATTTCTCGATTTCACATTTCCGCTTAATATTCCCGCGGTACATGTCAATTGTCACACGTCGCGGACCTTTGACGTTAGAGGAAAATCGAATATTTTACGCGGCGAAGCGTGCAGTTTTTAGGGATTTACGCTAGTTATATTAGAGTTCGTCTTACTGGTTAACGTGACTATAGTTTCGTTCGGCCAAGGCATTTTTCTTTATCTAGGAAAAACAAAATTTTCCATTTTATAACTCTCTTAAATGTTAGGTTAGGTACGTAGTACTAGTCGAAAATAATGCTCGACGCCAATGATATTTACTCATAATACCACTTGTTATAGCGGTAATTCCGTCACTCGTTGTCAAATATTGACTGAGTGCCGAGTACCTAGGACGCGACACGGATTTTAAGCAAACATACAAATAGGCATTTACATTAACACCTCCCTCCTCCCCCGCAGTCCCCTCGCCGTCATAAAAGACTGTCGTAAAAGAGTGAAGTAAAAGTCCGCCATTTGAAACACGGTCAACAATCGGAAAATCTGACTGAACATCGCCATAAATTTTACTGCCTTCGGTACTTCGGTGCTTGAGTAAAATTATTGTTTGTGCACATTTCATTGGAAAGGTCTATTATCGATTTGTGTTGACCGTAAACAAGCGTGTCTAACAAGCAAAACGGCATTATCAACACAAAAGCTGGCCGTACCTTTTTGTAAAACTATTTGAATTGCATTAACCTTCTAGCTTTATAAAACAGTCGCGTCTTATATGGTGTGTTGTAATATATCATTAGTGATAAAAACATTTTCACAATTCAACGGTTTAAAACGCGAAATACCTATATATATTACTACAAATAAGAAATACACAATTCTTGTCAATAACATAGTAATAATATTGGATTATTAATTTCAATGCATTTTCCTGACCTAAACCATGTTATAAGAGGATTTTAAAATACTGCGGTCGGAACCCGTCGGTAAACGCTCGACAGATGTTCCACAATTGCGGTCGGTGCGCGGCGATATAATATCCAGCTTATGCCTATAGAAATAAGGTCTAAGTTAACAAAACACGCTTCGAATTAAACTCGAAATGTGGTTATCTGACATGTTTGCGGCAACATCTCTTATTTACGGGAAAACAAGGCAGTTTTTATGTACATTTTTCATAGATAACATTTAAGGACTTTTCGCCTTATTCTTGGAACTTTCAGAAGCAATCGCGTCAACGTCGACTCAGTGGGAAACGGACCCTCGCGGGGGGCCGCTTTTGTGACGTCGATAATACCGTATTGTTTGGTTTTTATTGCCGAAACTTGATTTTTATCAAGATACTGCGCTATTATGCTGCTTAATGTGCGAATTATTATAATAAACGCAGCCGTTAGCTGCGGTAAATCATCTTTCACATAATAAGCTTTGTTACTTAACACACTTTCGCACAATAACTTAGATAGGTATCTATCGGCATTCAAATTAAATAACTAACTAAAAAGCGAGAATACGTGTGGTTTGGAACATCGTTGTAATACTGAACTTTATGTCACTTGAAATTAATTTGAGTATTTTTGTTTCGAATTAGCTATTAAACCTTCTTTTTGGTTCATATATGATATGTTTCATATGCGAATAGTGGACGTTAGGTCAAAACGTGGGTTACCGGATGCCTAGCGGCCGCCACGGCTGCAGCGGCGGCGGCAGCGTTCATCGCGCCCGCGCTTGGATACATCCCCACGTCAAGCACACGCGGTCATCGTCTGCAAAACACTCAATGAAAACACCCACACACTCCACTCTATAACACAAAAATCAACACTGCAAGATAGCGCACTCCGCGCGGTCAGACACACACGAATAAATTATAGACAAATGCGAAACACTACCTCCTCTTCTGAGAGCTAAGAGCGAACTAGCGCGCCGCGAGGGGCCCGGGCGGGCGGGGGACGCTCCCTTGCCCCGCGGCCACCCTTCGCTTCAGTTTGCATGCCGCGCCAGTTGCTAAATTTTATAATTCATAATTTCCTTCAATCTTGTCTATTTCTATATTAATGCTTTACGAAGCGAGAGCTTTATAAATTGGCTTTATCACATTTATGAACCAGTTCACAGCGTTATAAGAAGAAGAAAAGAGAGGAAACTCTAGGCAGTCGTTTATAAATATTGTTAAGTAGTGTTTTTATCATATTTACTACAAACTTACAGTAGTTAATAAATCATCATATATTTTTTTATTTGAGAAACTAACAAAGCGCTCCCCTTATTTTAACAAATGAGCGACCGACAGTAATTTAATATTTTTCAGTGTACAACTAGCGAGATATCGAATTATAGCCACCTTCACCTTATAATACCTCCCTATCTATTATCATAACAAAACGGCTTAATATTAATGCCTAAAGCAACATGACGAATGAAATGGTACCTAGGTAATCTTAAGAACATGATAAATTCTGTTGCAGATAAAATCTCAACATGACATTATTATTTATCTTAACTCTAAAATATGATGTATAAAGATTTCAATGTCTCACGTATTTTAGTAGATATCGAAGAGTTTTGTACATATTATTCACATTTAGGTACATTTCTGTCTACTTTTATAACACAGATTATACTTTTAAGATAATTAATTCGAGGAAAATACCTCTAATAAGCTAGAATATAACAACTCTCTTGAACAAAATGAGGCTGTATATAAATATTATAATGAGTGGTAATGACTAAGTAAAGTGCCGCGTGATTACCTACTTTATGTAAACACGTACTTAATATTGCCTACCTAAATGTTAAAGAGGAAAATCATTATATATCTATGTGCATGTGTAGTGCTACTGCCTACTATTTCTTTTTATGTACCTTCACTTAAGGATTACTTCACGTGTTTGCCCATTAAAACATTGAAGTATTTAATCCAATCAAAATAAATATAGTTTTAAAAGCTTGCAAAGAAATCGCGTGTTGTAATTTACGTGCACTTGAGCGCAAGTAACGAGCCGACGCAAAAAAAATGTTGATGTTCACAACCGTTCTTACTTATTAAGTTTTCAATTTGAATACAACCCTTCGAACTTTTAGTATAACAAATAGATCTTAACCACAGACTGACTGATGTGACATTGTAATAGCAGATGACATATTTTGTTTAATCATAGACTATAGAAGGGTAAACTATGGCGGTATTTATAATACAGATAACATATAAATATGCGTCTGTGGGACTTTGAATAGCGTATTGTGTTATTTTTATTATTATATATATATTAATAAAATAACGTTCTGGCAGCCGAGGTTACGAGGACAATAAATAAACGCTAAAAAAATTAAATTTTATTACTACGTTAATGTTTCACGTGCAATTAATCGAAACATATCAATAGTTAAAGTAACATTATTAGCTTCATTAAACATGGGTAGCGCCTTGAAAGCGTGCTTTAATTGCCAAGTCAGCTCGCGGTCAGTTAAAACTTACACACAACTTAAACACTACAACTCGTCGCCAGCTACACTCGAAACAGTGCATAATTAACACAAACAATTAGTTAGTACGTACTATTGCTACGAAATTTTTCTATTACAGAGGATAATGGAAGGTGAAATAAGCCCTTAGCATTCAATAAATGTGGTGTCGACCTTTTTGCTTTTAGACAATTAAAATTTCTCATAACCGAATCTCGAATTTACACACGTCTATTACAATGTTTTTACTACATACATAATTAAATAAGAACAATCAAACCCGCGACCAGTTGGTTTTTACCATTGCTACAATTGGTGCAACGGGGCCGTCGCAATTCCAAGCGTGTTTCCGAGAAGGTTTGAATTTGTTGATTCGTCTATTTTTATTCGGAATGGCTAATGGTCGAAATGGCGTGCACAATACGATTTGGTATAAAGTGGTACAATATGCATTTAATTATTTCTATGTCACAATAATAGTGTGAATGTGAATATTCAATATTTTTTAAAGCGCTCCATTGTATTTTTTTAATTGTAGGTGGATACAAAGAGAAAACAATAGGTAATCTTGCATATAATGAATATAAATGACTCGATAGTCACTTTCTACTTCGTCACTATTCTATATATAGTAATAGCATCGATAAATGAAAGCAGTAAAAATTGAGAACCAATATATGTATAGGGTAAAATACTCCAATGTTAAATGAAGTAAAACACTGTTGACTGATTTAAACGCAAAATACATTAGTTAACTTAATTTTTCGATAATTACCCAAAGTTTTGGTTGCTTTGCACTTAGTAGCGGCACCTATATTTGTTAACGAATGTAATAATAACTTTCGTGTTTTAAACAGTTTTATTTTAATGTACCCACCTACTACTCGCGTAAAATGCAGACAAAAGTCAACACGCCAATCTTAATTGTTATTAGGTCGAGTTCACAATTTTAGGAGAAGTTAGTGGTTTTAGCTGCGTAGGTGACGCTCAGTGTGCGAGAGTGGAACTTCCTAGAAAAGCTAGTTAGGCGCTAAGCGTTACAAGGAGTGAGTACCTATTAGCAATACCGGGTTTCGATTTAAACTTTTAACCCTCAGGGTAAGTGCTCAGTCGCGTCTGGGATTTCAAGTGGTATCCGGTAACCCTGCCGCGTATTGTTCGTGAAGGAATGCCATTTTAATGACCAAGCCACATTGTTCGACGTGCGTCATAGTTTAACAACTAAGAACCCACTAACTATTCTTAGTAGAGACGCGCCGAGATCGGTCGGAACCGAAGCCGGATTGCATCCGAATATTTTTGTAAAAAAATAATTACATTTCGTTAATAAACTTTAAAACGTGTAGTTTATTTATGCACTTAATCAACTCCTGCTTAGCACAAAGAAAATTCCAAAATCTCTAAGCTGTAGTACCTATCTAATAGCAATCAAAGCAATGTCAAGTTTTATTTTACTCGTAACTGATAACATTTTAATGTGGAATCGAAATTTCGGTTAAGGTTAAACCGAACCGAGGCCCATCCCTAATTCCGAGTTCATTCTCACTTCGAGCCAGCGTTACACAAGCCTCAATACAAACAGCTCTTTAATCTAATTGACTTTTACACAACACGCCCCGATTGATTTACGATTAGACTTGTCTAAAGCCTACGTAAGTAATTTGCTGCCGATATATTATTTACAGATAATATCGTGCTCGACGTATAATTAAGCTATTTATGCGCGATTCGGATGTTATCTGCTATTCGGAATTAAGGGTTTACCGTGGACATACCTAGTATTTTGTTAAGCTGGCGAAGCCCGAAGGATTTGTCGTTTTGTTAATCTATTGTAGGTCTGCAGTCATTCAACTAGGCCTAAGCCCATTTTAAAAGGGTTGATGACTCACAATGATGGTCGACAGGGCCACATATTCAAAATATGACGTAAATAAATCCTAAGAAGCTTGATCACAGATTTGGTGCCAGTCTTACACAGCCGGAGGTAGTTTTTCAGTTTTAGAAACGTACCCAGTTACCTACCCAGTTGTTAAAATTCGGAACGCAGCTTCGTCTTTTAACAATGGTTAGACATTGTGTATTCAGACAGTAGCCCGACTGTCAGTTGTCCGATGCGAGCGGTATCATTAGTTTTTAGGCCCGACACCGGACAAGCATACTTATCGGGCGATCCGCCCACGCGGATACCTATCTCTCGCGCCTCGCACTACTTCTATTTCCTTCGACTGGTTTTTACCTGACGCGGCGAATAAAGTAGCCGGTCGCCTATGCCGATAACGCCACCCACGTAATTGGATTCGCAGAAGCTCTAATCTCATTATTCTCTTAGCGAGCGTTTTACACGAGTGATCGTGCGCTTAGGATCGTATCGGAGTCGGGAGCGAGGAGCGAGGGCGGGAGACGCGACCCGCGACCCGCGACGTGCCATTAGCGCTGCGCATTCAATAATAACGAACGAGCCACACCGAAATATCCCCTGTTTACACCCACTCGCTCGCTCGATCCGCCGCACCGACCGCGTTTTATTTTTTCGCTGTCGCACATTTCGCCGTCATAGCTATTTCCACTCGAGGTATTATGCTCGCGTACGTGTGTGAGTCGGTCCACGTGGACCGCTCCGTCGACGACGGACCGAATCCGCGCGACGAGGCCTCTCCATTGGCCGGAACGCCGAGATCGCTTATTAAGGGCGGAGTTACACGCGTTCCTCGCCCGACATTGGCGGATACGGCGTCGGCGTCCGCCGCGATTGGACGAGGCGATTTTTATAAGCGCGGCAGTCCACGTGGACTCGTTTATCTATTCAGACGCCGGCGGCGCGGTCGCGGGGGGAGGCCGGGGGGTATACGGGCAATCAGTAAAGGCGGGAGGAATACGGCCATATTTATAAGAGCTGCGGGGATGCAATCACGAAGCGGCGCGGGGTGGCAGGAGAGGCGGGGGAGGCGGCGGCCATTTTGAGGGCAGCTCTTTTTATTCGTTTTTCGCGCGGGGTGCGTCGTCGACGGGAGCGCGGCGCGCGCTAATTGCGGGGGTAATGAGGGCGCTCGGCTCGCTCACTCTATTAAACTGGCTCGCTATCGACTGCCTTATTGATTTGTCCTTAATCGCGGCGCACCGGACGCGGCTCGCTCTAATGTAAACAAAGCGGCTCGCCCGCGTGCGACATCCGCAAATTGAATCGCAACGACTGGGTGCGGTGGCTCTCGAGCCCTACTTTCAGAGCTCCTCGCCCGCATGGCAAATGCCGTTCGCTCCTCGACTTTACGGCTCACTGTCGTTAATAAATCAACGTAGAAAATAAGCTCGCGACGCCTCACTGACTGATCGATATGTACATTTTATGCTGCATGATGGATCTAGATACCTCGCGATGAATAACTGGCCGAACAAAAAGTTGGCTCCGAAGTATTCTAATTTATACATAGAATATTCCTACCTCTCTATGTAAATGCTATATTTTAAAAAAATAAATTGAAAAAATTTTCATCAACTTAACCATTATTCCTTTTGTCTAAATTATACCGAGTCCTACATCATCTGAATTTTTCTCAACTTATTGATACATACTCTCCGCAATGTAATTTCTACTTAACACTTGCGTATTAAGGCTCAATGTCTAGCTTTGCACAAGAAATCATGAAGATGAAATTACAAAGTTATAACGTTTGAAAACATTAATATTTTTCACATGTTATTCCACATGAAGGCACTATATAATTAAAAATAAAATAAATTAAAAAATTTTCGACTCGCAGACTTGAACGATTCATTTCCTTTTTCTACAATTGAGTAGAGTCCTACACCTCATCGTCGAATTTTTTCAACTTATGATAATACTCTCGCAATTAATTTCTACTTAACATCTAAAGTCAATTCTTATGCTTTGCAGTTAAGAAATATTGAAGATGAAATTACAAATTATAACTTGAAAAATAATATTTTTCACATGTTATTCCAATGAAGGACTATATATAAAAATCGAAAATAAATTGAAAAAAATTTTCACTCGGCAGGACTTGAACGATCGTCATTTCCTGCTGTTCTCTACAATTGACTACCGAGTCCTAACTATCGTCGAATTTTTAATATATACATCACCTCTCGCGAATGTAATTTCTACCTTAACACTTGGTATTAAGGCTAATGTTAAGGTAGAAATTACATTGCGCGAGAGGTGCATGTATCAATAAGTTGAAAAAATTGAATAGTGTAATCGATCAATGGTAGAGCAACAGCACGGAAAGCTACGATCGTTCAAGTCCTGCCCGAGTCGAAAATTTTTTCAATTTATTTTCGATTTTTAAATTATATAGTGCCTTCATGTGCAATAACATGTGAAAAATATTAATGTTTTCAAAGTTAAACTTTAATTTATCTTCAATGATTTTTAAGCCAAAATAAGACATTGAGCCTTAATACGCAAGTGTTAAGGTAGAAATTACATTGCGCAGAGGTGCATGTATCAATAAGTTGAAAAAATTCGACGATGAGGTGTAATCGACTCAATTGGTAGAGCAACAGCACGGAAAGCTGACGATGCCGGTTCAAGTCCTGCCCGAGTCGAAAATTTTTTCAATTTATTTTCGATTTTAAATTATATAGTGCCTTCATGTGGAATAACATGTGAAAAATATTAATGTTTTCAAACTTATAACTTTGTAATTTCATCTTCAATGATTTCTTAAGCTGCAAAGCATAAGACATTGAGCCTTAATACGCAATGTTAAGGAGAAATTACATCCGAGAGGTGCATGTATCAATAAGTTGAAAAATTGAATAGGTGTAGATCGGATCAATTGGAGAGAACAGACGGAAAGTGACGATGGTTCAAGTCCTGCCCGAGTCGAAAATTTTTCAATTTATTTTCATTTTTAAATATATAGTGCCTTCATGTGGAATAACATGTGAAAAAATAATGTTTTCAAATGCGTATATGTTTTATTCATCTAAATAAATGTAAATACGTACCAACATACAAACTACAAGAAAAAATAAGTAAATACATCACACGTCGTAAACAGGGTCGCTAAGGATACAGAACTCTTTCTCTAAGACGGAATTTTAAACGAACATTTTGTTTATTTTAAAACTGTTATATAAAGATAGAAAACGCGAATCGCGATATATAGATAAGTATATATTTTCAAACAAGTTTAACTAAAATATATCGCGTTTTAAACCGTTAAAGACACACTGCAGACAGTATTTAAAACTGTTTATTCAAATTGAACATTGTAATATCCTTATAATATATATTTATATAATCGAGTTCTCTAAAAAAAGTTTTGGTTAAAAAGAAGCTCGTACGAAGTTTACACTGTAGGTAATACTTATTATTAATTTGTTTGTTTTAATATGTGGCTAAATAATTGTATTTCCAATTCTAATGTACCCAATATTAAACTTTAAAACCCCCATTAGAAACCCGAATAGCTCTCCGTAGGCAAAAACGTAACTTAATAATTCTGTGAAACTAAAAAAAACTCCGTTTTATTTTGGTGAACAGAGACTCGAAGTTGATCTAATATAAAAGGAGCAAAATTGGATTTATATTATCCCGCTGTGCGTGAAAGCTGAACAATGGGGTGGCCAGGACAGACACTTGTTTTGTGTTCTGTCTAATAAATAAGTGGGTCTCTACCTTTATTTTATCTAGCTTCCTAGTCTATTTTAAACGTACATTTTTGGTCGACAACGAGTTAGGAGACTAAGGTATTTCATCTTCCATCTCGTCTCCATGGTTGTATGTCTTCCTCAATGTTTACAAATATTATTTGATCTTACTTATAAGTTACTTATTTACCCATAGTAAAGAAAGCCACTTCCGAAAGTTCTAAGCAAAAATAGGTATAAAGCATAGGATTGGAGAATTTCATATTAATGTCTTCTTCTTTCTAAAAAAGATATGTACCTAGGTAAAGTTATTTATGTAAAAGGGAGGCACAGTTTCGTTTTGAAAGCTAGGTACGTATCGTCTGCCTAGACAACAACTGTGTAAATTGTGCACATAGCGTATGCATTGTGCGTCAATTGATATTCTTTTGTTTACAGCTTGATGAGACATTTGTTCAACCAGCTGTATTAATACCACTCGATAATTGTTCATGTAACATCGAATATTACAAATAATCTACTGATATTCGGAAATCCGTCTCTATCTAATCGCCAACAAAGAATTAAGCTTACGTCCAAAAGATAATTTAATTCTCATTAAAACGTTTCAATACCGGTAATTTTCGCGTAACGTTTATTTAATACTCGGTAAGAATGGAGGCCTAATTTCGGGACGAGCATAATAGGCCAGTCGAGTGTTTCGGCGTCGAATAGGCAGCGGGAAGATTACGCGCCGACAATGGAGCGAGACGATATGAAATTTCATTAACGAGGGTCGGCTCAGCACTTCACAAGACGGCGGGCAAACAGCGCGCGTGAACCCACGAATAATTCACACGCGAGCCCTACAAATAACGCCTCCCGCTTTCCCCCCGTGTCCCCTTCGGCCGCAAACTCACTTATTTATCGTTAGAGCCGCGGTGCGAGAGACGTATATTTTTACAGGCGACGGCTAATGCCCGGCGACATCTATCGGTTGGCGTATGAAACACACGTCTCGTGATCCCGCGGTTATTGCGCGATGTCAGCTACTTTGCTAATAAGAATTCCAATTTTGAAAGATACAAATTCTGTACTTATTTATACTAAAACTAGTCGGTATATAAGTAAGTTACGTAACTCAGAATTGTAACAATAATTACAACTTACAATGGAGAAGTTAATATTTTAAACTTAAAACACGGTAGGTAGGTACATAATAAATAATAAAAACACTTAATTAACAAGATTTCCTTATTGATTACTTATCAATATGTACATTTTTATTTAATAAGTATAAGCACCTAGGTATATTTAACAGGTTTTAAAATGTTACAGTATTATTATTGGCAACTTTGTGAAAGTTACTAACCTACCTAAATAAAACCCGTTTTCTTGTATCGGAAGCGATCATTATAAATAATATGGTTTTTGTGAAACAATATGTAATTATATTTACTGATTAAGCGACTCGTGTTTTAACTTTTATTACCTCGCTATGTAAACTTCAATTAGTTATGCATGGTCAAACTGAGGCTTAGTGCTACCTACACTACTAACTTAACTATACTAAAATGTTATGTTGATTTTGATACATGTAGTAGAATGAAAATAAGGTAAGACGGTAGTTCAGGATGGAGTAAATCTCTAATTTATAACAGAATAGGTATAGGGAATAAGTGTAGTCAATGGTTCTGTGTTCGAATCCTGGAGAAACAATAGATTGTTTCGGTCAGGCAGGGCACAGAAGTGAGAGTTGTCTGTGAAAGAACTGATTAGGGAAACGGACTCAGAAATGTGTTCGCCTAATGTTCCAGATCGTAAATAGTTTGAAAAACTCGCAAGTCTCAACACGACGGGTCATATTTTACAATGAAGCGAGTGTTGTCACGCTACACTTTGCTTTGCTTTTCGTCAAAAGATTAGATTAGATTGCTCAAGTTTTCTCTATAGACATCTCTTGGGTGAAATATTATTTGTGGTGCAAAGTGCAGCCGTGTTGCCGCACACGATGCACTCCCAGCCTGAGAAATGGCCCAACAGGGTGTTGAGTTCGTGCAAAACTACGCAGCGCCCACAATTCTGTAACGAATGATTTACTTTGCCAATAAAAGTTGCCTTTGTTAGTTTTGCTCTTGACTGTGTAAACGATTTTCTTCTGATTGCTATTCAAACTTACTCATTCGCCGTCATGTGTTACTTACTTACTTAGACTTTACTTACTTACTTAGACGTCCACTTTTCTAAAGAATAACCTTCTATATATCCTTAGACTAGGCTACCAATACGTGTGAAATTAAATTAAATTTTAAAAACAACCTCCTTAGCATTATAAGTTATACTGTTACCCACGACGTAGGCTACATCCCGTCATTCTTGTGAGTAAATATGAAAAAACATATACCTACTGTCGCGCACATTTTTTATATCGTGTAAAGAGCACCGCGCGCAATAAAATTACTCAAAAATAATATGAATAATTTTCCCTGTTTTTTCCACATTTTCCACTGTGTCTTCGCTCCTATCGGTTGCAGCCTAATGTTTTATAGTCAACATAAACATATTTTAATTTGCACCAATAGTTCCCGAGATTAGCGTGTTCAAACAAACTCGTCAGGTCCATAATCTTACGTTACATAAATGCTTCAAGAATTATATTTAATACTCACCTATCGTTATGGAAAATAATGATTATCCTATTAACACCTACCTATACATATTTGAAGCTCTTTAGAAAACTGACCTTTTAAAAAAGGTTACATAGCTACAGGTTTTGAAAGTAAAAAAAAAATTGTATAAAACTTTGTCACTAAGCTTTAGGGTAGGTATAGTGGTACCGTTTCCACTGTCAGGCTTGGCGAGCATTTGTGTGTCTAACTGTTAGATTTTAAGTCACAAGCAAGAAGTTGATTCGGCATCTTTGCCTCCGTTGATTGTAACCAAAATTTTTCCCAAATTCGAACCCCGACCCAAGGAGTGATTGAATTTGTGACGGACATAATAGATATTTATAAAGTTATTCATTTCATAAACAACTAAAGAAATAACTTAGTTAATTATTTAAATACAAACAGATATAGTAGGTATGCGACAGAGGTGACTAATTGTCTTACTGTATATATTGTTATATGTTATTTGCGGTGAGCATAGTTGTTTTGCGTGTCAATTAGTGGCTTACATTTGTTAAATGGGTGTGGAGCGGAAACATTCGGAGATTACGCTAATATTAATTGTCAGTATCAACTATGTTTAGGTGTGTTGTTTCCAGAATTCGCAGTTAAAGGAAAAATAATTACAAAATCAACCTTGGAAAATGATTATGGAAAGTTTATCAGATAAACACATAGGTTACCGAGATTATACGCCGATTTTCCGCCGTAATTTCGAATCCCGCTTGTGTCGCTCTTTTCAATTACATATTTTTGAATAACTTAGGTTATTAAAAATAGCAGGTACGTAACGTTAGAATAATTAACTTATCCCCCCTTTTCCGGTTATTTTTAGTGACATGTCCGGGTCAAATGAGGGGGTTGCACATTAATTCGGAGCGCGTGACCACAACGCGGAGCGCTTGCCCTCTCGTTTTCGTTTTCCCGCCGGATTTGCGTTCGTACGGCGAAATAAAAAGGGCGATTTGACGCCCTCCATCGCCACCGCCCGATTAGCGGCGCCCGGGGAAATTAAAAGTATTTTATTCGAGCATTTATTCCCTTTTTGTTTGCGTTGAATAATGCTCACGAGCGGTATGCGGTGTGTCAAACGCCTTCCATACTTGTATGACAGATGACAGCAATATTGATAGTTGCAACACTCCGCTTGCGTAACTTTCTTTTTTATTAAATGTTGCCAGTATTTCATACTTTAAATAAGTAATTACATAAGTAATGTTTTTCGAAGATATTAAGTAGATAAAATTTACTTAATGCGATTACTTAAGTTATTAATAAAAACGATGTTTATATCATTAAATTTATCATTATATATGAAGAAACTCAGTCTCGAAGGAATTAATTATTATCTGCTGAATATAAGAGTATATACGTTAATTCCTCTTATTTTGTTGCCATGCTGCATCAAATGTCGAGCCAGCGTTCCATATTAAATTAATTCTTGTCTACGGTATTGAAAGGCATAAAAGTATTTGAGTGTATTAACAACCCCTAAGCACAGCGATCCACCCTCTCCCTGGGGACGTTAGCGCTGATTTTTCTCATTTATACCAACGGTTCATCGGATACTGAAATGGGGAAGATATTATTAGACATCATTTTTTTTTGCATCACATTAATCTATCTCAACTTTTGATTTAGAAATACATCTTAAATCTAATTTAAAATTAAACAAATTTAAATAGTTTCAAACGTAAAATTATACATTAATTTAACTTATGTTATGTTTTGCAGCATCCGTGGTCGGGGGGGGGGAATAACTACTATTTCTAATTCTGAAAGTTCTTAAACTAGCTGGGTCCTTATAGTAATTGATTAAACAACAGACAATCTGAAATCTACTTGAAAAATACTGAGTTTGTAGATACTTCTAGATATAGTAGAAGTAGGGTCCAACGGATTTTTTCTATATATCACATTGGTCTTTCTCACCTTCGTAATCAGACTTCAGATTGTTTATTAAGCGACACGGCCTTTACCATCCCATAATACTTAAACTGTTTTTTTAAATCATAGACGATCACAGCCGATAGCGAACAATAGGCAATAATATTGATATAACCAGGTCGTTGTGGAATTGTTGGCGTTTACGTTTTATAGTTCGACCTCATTCGGGGAGGGCTTAATAAACAAATCCTACCTGTCTAAGCCGACGATAAGTTGCCCTTTCGGTTCGCGTCACGTAACAAGGGGGGAACTCCTAACATTTCCGCCCTTTGTCGACAAACGATCCCTTTATTGAATCAGAGAATCAGAGATACCTATAATCATAAAGCAGCTTTTTGAATGACAATTTGTTTCGGATCCTGCGCTTATATTAGTGCAGCTTCTCGGCTATCCCCTTCGCATTATTATTTTAAACTTGTTTCACGAATAAACCTGTATAATTATGTTATTGATCTTTGTAGTCTTCTTACCGAGCAATAAACATTTTTATTTACATAATCCAGAACTTAATGAAATAATTATTTTAGTTACTTTATTTTTATCTAAATAATATGCTTTGTCATACATATTAGATCAAAGACATTTAGGATAAAATTGAATTCACTACCCAAGTAAGTTGTAAAGTGTAAGTACCGGCTACCGGTAACAAAGAACGAAACGCAATATATGGGCAAAATTGTTCTTAAGGCTTCAGAGAATTCCTTTCTTTAATATACGTCTAGCATATCGCATAAAGAAGCTCACATTTCTCGAATAGCTTTGTTCAGCTGGTCAAACTCGGGAGCGAAGCGGGCAAATAAAAAGAAATAACGCGAGAGCAAAATATTACGAGCATATAAAGTGCGGCTGCATGCACTTCTCGAATGAAAACCTCGTGCTCAGCACAACAGTCGACTGGAACAGACACACGCACACCGCATCCACACGGCGTACTACAATAACGGCGGGGGGCGCCGCGGGGTGAGGCGTCCGGGGAGCCGTGACGAGACGATGCAGTTTGCAGCGCGGCCTCCTCCAACCTTCACCAACTTGCGACCCTGTTCTTGGGAATCGTTTTAAATTCAACAGCCGCAGAACACTCTGCGAAGGACACTACGCTCTATGTAGAACGCAATAAGTGCGAGTTTCAAGTAGACGACGCTCTTTAAGTCATTTCGAAAACAACTATCTCGGGTGCCTACGTCGTATTTGCGACCGTAGCGCCTCGTTCGAGAGTCGAGAATCGTTCGCCTACTCTACGGTAGAAGCGGATCCGGGTGTGAGTGCGGAGGTGAGAAATACATTAGCGGTACCGTTTTCTATTGGTCGTTGCTCCTGTGTTGATATGAAGTAGTCCACGTGGACTGCTCCGGAGTCACTTGTCTCGTTTTTTTTACGGTGGGACGCTCGCTATCCGTCCCATTCTAATCTACAACGAAACGTGGAATGTCATGTCCGGAGTTGTTCTGAGAGTCGTGAGCGTGCATCGTGCTTCGAACTAAATTCTTATGAAATAAAGGAACAGGTTTATGTAGTTGACCTTTAAATTCATATTGAATTTCCTCGCTGTAAAGTTCAATTTTCCTTGACGGCTAATTGTTTTACGTTATTATTAACGCAACGTATTGATAAACATTTTTAAGTCAATTAAGGTTGTAAGCTAAAAGCAGTTGTTGCTACATTTAAAAATTATTGTCTGGCACTCAAATAATGCCATCTTTTCATGTCGACACGACACCATAATAATTAATTTTATGTAGTCGGTACTTACGCCGTAGTTTTATCCTGAGTAGATATAAATACGTAGAATTCTAGAGAGTGATTGTAATGTTATCCTAGGAATGAGAAAATTTTGTTTTGAAATAAAAGAATTCTTAAGTCATATTTTGTACGTCAAATTATCAAACTACTTGATAATTTTAACTACTTGATATTAACCTACTAACTATACCTATTCGTTCTTATTTATCTCGAAAAACAACCGTTTACTTATTTGTATAAACAATCTTTCAATATTTAATACCTTAACTAAACAACTATTCAACATTCAGTTGAAGAAATATTAAAAAGAAAGGGAAATATCGTATACTTTATGTTTACTTATAACACCTTATAACACAGATGCAATTACCACTGAACAAGACAAGTTACAAGTAACGACATCTGTCGATTCTATAGTGTACTAAAGTTTCCTATAAAAATAGAAGATGGCGCTTTTAAGCATTTGGTAGATAATCGATTACTACTTTGACAGAAAGAACGATTGTGACATAACTATAACAAGTTGTTTAATTTCATATGAAAAATACTACATAAACCCTAAGTAATAAAAAAATATCTAAGATCTATTATTACGGTAGATATCTATTATTTATACCAATTATATTATACAAAATAATGCCTAAATGCACATAGAACGATCCGAATAAAGATATAAGGATCGATTAATTGTGACAATACCAACTGTCACTAACACTAAGTAAACTTTATCTTGCGTGACAATTCAGTACTATCTATTTTTCGAACGTAGACGTTTTCCATTGTTATTATTCAAATGTTATAATTTCGTTTCCGTTTTACTTGAATTAAACTAGTTAAACAACCAGTATTAGTTGGATACGTCTTACGTATTTATAATTAGGAAATAACTTAGAAATGCCACAAATAATTTTATTATTCAGCGGCAAGAGAAAATGTGGAAAAGATTTTCTTACTGACCATTTAAAATCTAAGTAAGTGCCTTAAAATATTGATTTTTAATCTTATAAATTTAAAGACAGCTATAATTATATTCAAACTATAATTTTATAATATAGACAAAGTTAGACAGCTTCAATTTAATAGTAAAAAAGTAAAAAATAATATTAGTTACATTTAAAATTAATCCTGGCGAGAGTGATCTAAAGAAAACTATAAAATATTATGAACCTATAATAGTTAATTACTAAAAAAACTTTTACTCCTTTTTCAGGCTGGACGATCAGTTTGAAATTGTAAAAATATCTTTACCTATAAAAAGTTATTGGGCAAAGGAAATGAATTTAAATTTGAATGAGCTGCTAGGTGACAGCCAATATAAGGAAAACTATAGACTACAGATGATTGAATGGAGCGATAAGATGAGGAAACAAGATTATGGATGTTTCTGTAGAATTGCTTGTGAAAATGGTATTTTATATACATAGTATAAACTCCATGCTTATAATCCTTTTTGGATACCAATACATATTGTATTATTTATAAACTGACCTGTTTTTGATCATATTATATACCCATTTACTGTACCATCACGTTTCCATATATAAACCGTTGGTAAAATATGGAAATACATTAAAACATTATGTTTCAGCAAAAGACAAACCCATATGGATAGTAAGTGATATTAGACGCAAAACAGATGTAAGATGGTTCAAAGAAACCTATGGTAACCACATCAGAACAATACGGCTGATAGCTGACGAAGAAACTAGAATAGAAAGGGGATACCAGTTCAAACCTGGCGTCGATGATGTTGCTTCTGAATGTGATTTAGACGATTACGAAGAGTGGGACCTAATCATTAATAATGGCAAAGATGGAGAGCCATTGGAAAAGCAAATAGAACAAGTTCTGAAGTTAATTGCAGTATTATAGGTATAACTAGATGTCCATGACTCAGACATTAACTGTCTATTGTTTGAGTAATTATTGTTTTTTTTATATAATTAAACGTATTATACTAGATTTTATCAAGGTTAATAAGGAAAATATTTTAACTAAGAATGTAATTGTTGAGGTTTATCATATTTTGTTTATGTAATATTAAAATATAATGTGTTGTTGTTAAACTCTGATTGTAGTGAAATTGTATTAGACAAATGGGACCAAACAAAACTAGTATTAAAATATGGTCTAGTTAGACTGACTTTAATAATGATATGTATGTAGCATGTAAGTGTACGCGCAACACTTAATGTTATTTAATTAATTTTCTTAAAAAGTCAATTATTCGATGCTTATCAAAATTTTTATGTTAAGCTATATAATTAATAAGCTATAATATTGTGGAATTTTATATTGTGATATAAGATTTCTTAGTTGACTTCAATATTCTTTAATAAAATTGAGCTGGACTGTTTTTTTTATATTTGTTTCTGGATGGTCCTACGAACAAATGGAAAGTGTGTTACAAATAAATGGTTACGACACTACTAACGCCCTCTGTCGACGGGTCGGTGAAGTTTTTATAGAGCACCACTAATCCTACTAAACTAATACAACTGTCCTGGTTTTACCCGTGTATTATTAAAAAATTGTGCTGCCCCAGCTTTGTTCCGCGTAACTTATTTAATTTCATATTTTAGTTTTATCCAATTTATAAAAAAAAAAATAATATCCTTACTACATACAAATAAACAACCATTATAATTTCGCAAAATATTTGTAGGATACTAGTGCCAATGGGTTTTTATGTTCAATTTTTAAATAGTACTACGAATCGTTTGTATGGAAGTATATAACAGTTTAATTTTTAGACTTTTTCAGCTATTTTTTTATTATTTTTCCCTACGTAAAAACATATATTTCAATTGATATTCTAAAATACGATTTTCGCTTACCAAGAGAGAAAAACATATTTCTCGTTAAAGCGCCATCTGCTTATGATTTACCAAACTCGTAGAATATTCTTCGCTTTGTCAAAACTCAAACGTTACAACCACTTTTGTGTATCGACCATCAATCATATATATCAACATGAATAACAGGAGATAATCTCAATATATTATATTCTGCTCTTGAACATCGACAATTTATTTGTCACATATGTGAGGACATGTGTTATTATGTGTCATGCACGTAATATAATTTAAATATTGAAAATCCTTTTTATTTCAGTATAGAGGAATAAATACAACTTTTTGAATACATGCTGCATTCTTTTAAATTTCCATATAATGTTTTACAAGTAGATTTTTGTATGGTATATTTTTTTTATTATGTTTGTATATCTAGGTTTAATTTTCCTTTGTTTTTTTTACTTAATTTTTATTTAATTATTTTTTTTATAATTTTGAAACAATGCTGAGTGCAATTTAAAAATTGTAATATAAAAAATCCTTTTAGTTTATGCAACTTTTAAAAAATAATTAAGATAAGGTACGTCTGCATATCAGTATCCATAAAATAAATAATTAAAAAAAAAACATTTCAAAGTCCGTACTACACAACTATACTTGTAAGAGTAAAAGGGTCAAGGTCTTAAAAAATAACGGTCGCGATAGCGCCGTGGACAGTGCGACTAGGAAGCTAAAGTCCGCTGGGGTTCAGCCGTGCAGTCGCAGCGGTGGCTAGGGCGCCAGCGGCGGGTGTCCGCCGTTGCGAACTAACTCTCATTGCCAGGTACCGCTTGTGCGAATAGACACGGTACTACTACTCACAACACGACTGTCCATGATCTACATTTTGAAGTATTCGTTTACTTGTGTTTGATTAAAGTTTCGCAGAAGCGCGCAGCGCGAGGTCGCCTTTGTAGGTCTACGGGCGGAGGGTATCGATGCGGCTGCGCGCGCACGGGCCTGCGCCCCTCGCCTTCGATTTTCCAGCCCGAGCGACGGTGGCGGCGCGTTGCATAACTTCGTAGCGGCACTTCGCGCGCGACCTTACCCCGAGCGCCAGCCGCGAGCGCGCCCCACGCGCAGACACGCGCAACGCGCTCTGTCGCGCCCTTTACGTAACGCGCGCTCACTTAAACGTCGTCGCAAACGAGAACGGATAAGGTTTGGTGTGATAATAAGTGTGCTTCGTTTTGGCTTTCGTCGCTTCTGGCTTTATTTTTGCAAGGAGCTGGAGTGCGGCGGGCCGGCGGTGGGCCGGTAGGTGTCGCAGTGCGTTGCCTTTGTCCCGTGCCCGATGGCGGTGGTCGCGGCTGAATAATAGAACGGAGGCTGGCCGCTGGCCGCTATCGACCTCCGTCGCGTGACTCGCGTGCCGCGGGCAGAGGCGAGGACGCCGCGCTGGCTGCGGCACTCCGCCGCGCCACACCACCACCCGATCGCCGCCATCGTTCACGTTATTATCTTCTTATCTATCGATTGCTTCTGTTTTTATTACTGGCTACGTCATCGCCCCAGGGACGTAAAGGTGAATTTCGCTGCAGACTGTAAGGCAATTAGGGTCTATTTGTCAGCGATCCACCTTTTGTAATAGCTTTTGACTTTATGACTGTCATCGCTTAGTAATGGGTAACTATATGGTAATACAGCTATAAACGGTTTGCTTACAAGTAACTTATTCTATTGGCAGGCTTGTTTCTAAGCCAGGGAGGTGATAGAATTCCTTCCAGTTAGCGAAACTGAGCTTGGCACTTCTTGTTACGTAAAACTAGTCGAAATATCTTAACCCGTGTCTTATTACATAACTAGATATCCGATATCCAATCTTTATCTTATCTGATATCTAAGCTTTTTTAAAACAATAAAATACTTGATTTTCTGACGTTGACAGAAGCACAACACAGAATGTAGACCTAAGTGTCTAGGTTTTTGTATCATATACGCACAAAGTAACTTTTGGAATGAGTGCAGCTATACACCATAAACACTTAAGTTACATCCTTACCAATTACTGATTTATGTGAGAACCACGAAAAGCTAATATTATAATATTATGTAGGAATGACATTTGATTTTAAGGAAGTATATTGGTATGATACTTTTATCGACCTTTAAGAAGACCTACAAAGGAGTTTAACTTTATAATTTATTCTGAATATAGGGGGGTGTAGAGTAACCAACATGATAATCGTATATATTCATGTTGGTTACTCTACACCCCTTTTTACATTATATATATTTTACATCTTTTGTACCTACCAACCAACCCTATTATTTCTTTACAAATTATTCTATTAATATTAATATTAATATTATTTATAAAGACTTACTTGTGAAATTAATTGTATTTATTTTACCTATTTAAAGATGAGTAAGGACATATAAACTAAAAAGAAAGTGTCTTAGGACACCTTCTGTAATTCTCTTATCAATTTATTGAATTAAACGACACTAACCTTGTAATTACCTATAACTGAAAACAAACCAAAAAGTTAAAAAATTCGCAGTAAAGTTGAACTTCTAAGTATCCATTTTTTTCAACTCCATTGCAAATCATCACCATATTTCCACTCTTTTAGTCTGAAATGTTCACTTAGTAGCATGCAAATGTAAGTAGCTATTTATGCTACTTTCTCTGGAGTTCATGCATATTTACATCTTGTACGAGGATTCTCATAATTTAAATGCTGAATTTTTATTAAGGGCTACGACCCGTAAGACAACGACACTCCGTTGCCCTTTAGTTGCCAACCACGGTTATAGATTATATTATGTAGAAAAGACCAATAGTTCGCAAAAAAAAATGCCAATGTATTCATTCTGAAACACTTAACACTATTACTTTTCTACGAGTCCTCAATAAGGCAACAAATTCAAAAGTAGGTATTTATTATTTTGACTAAAAATCATTATCTAAAATTATATTTTAATTGTAATGTACCAGTAACCCATTTTAGTGGTTGCTTGGAACGTAAAAGTACTAAGCATATATATATATTTATATATATACGTAGAAAGTTCGACAGCCACGAAGTGTGGTACTTGGCTCGCCTTGACGAGTCGAGCAAAGCTTTGACGCTACGGCGAATAAGAGGTCGGCTTTGCCAGAGTGTCAGCTGATAATATTTAAATTATCTGTGTCGAAAATGATTCGAGATCATTCTACATTCGATCGCCGCAATATAGAAATTCAATATTTGATATTAATATTACGCTTCTAAACTATAACTTCGTTAAACGATTGTTCCACTTTGTTGGCAAATGAAGAAACATTTGGAACTTTATTTTTAAATTTGGAAGGAATAGAAATAATATTTAGAATAAATTATATTATATTTTTGAATATCGATCGTAACCGTAAACTTCGTTGGTAGTATTTGTAATTATTTAAAATTCTGTTTCATCTCTATGGATTATTGGCGGACATTTTTCTATGTCCGCTGCAGTAATAGCTATTATTTAGAATCAAGCAGTTTATCTGACGATTGTAATCTATCTAAATATGAACTTAGAGGGACTCTCTTGACATTTATGTAATTGCCATTGCTATGCAAACCGGTTAACCAGTGAACTTAGAAATCCGTATGATATGTAGTACTTAGTTGTTCCTTACAATATCCTAAAAATAGTTAATATTGGGAAAAAAAGACAAAAAAATCGTACTCCTATATTCTATAAATAAAAAAAAAACTATTAGCAAAATATAATTATTGCATTAAGAAATAAAGTATCTGCAATTAAGGCGAAATATCAAAACGAGTTTCGTGGAACTGTTAAAGCGTAGCGTGTTTATAGCATAACAATTATTATAGGTACATAAGGATTTTACTTTTACAATAATATTTTAGCAAATAACAGTTGACACGCAAACGTTTACAAATGCAAGTTCTACCTACTTTAATGGCCGCACCAGAATCTACAGTCTACACGTTTTGACCTTGCTTACGTTTCTTTTTGTCAATTTAGCGCTTTCATTAGGCGATACACGTTCTATTTGTAATTAATGAGATTAGCTGTTCTTATCAGTGTTCGTTTGGCGCTAGTTGTAAAGAGAAAATCTCTTGCTTACTTTTACCTTACCTTAAGTTGTGGAAAGCAAACTACTATATCAACGCTGTTTTGCCCTTACGTTAGATCAAAGACTAACTCCTTTTTAATAAACGGACAAGATTATATCTATTGAATTTTTAGATAAACATGCTAACTATCTGCAAAGTTTATAGAGAAAATATCTTGCTTACTTTTACCTTACCTTAAGTTGTGGAAAGCAAAGTATTGCTATAACTTATACATTCGGTTTTAACCGACTCCAGTATTTTATGTGCTTTTGAAACATGATGAAATTTGCAAGTTGATCTAGTAGGAGGAAGCCCTGCAATATAAATACGCGTTTTGGTTTCAACCCATAGATTTACGTATGCTAAAATGCAAAAAAGCTCGTCAACTCATGTAAATTAGATGTTAGTGGCCTAAAACTTTCCACTCTTCGAACTCCATCTGGTCCTTTTTTATATATTATAAAACAACGAAATGGTCAAAATTCTAAAAGTTTCTCTAAAGTAAAAGTATTGAATTGGAAAATATAATTTTACTAATTATTTGACTTCTGATTTCGCGTAAAATACAATAATTAAATTTAATCTCAGACTCAGTGAATGGATTAAAATTATATGGAGATGATTGTTACTTTAATCCATTCGCAAGTATGGATTATCCGTTGCTGGTGATATTATGTGTAACTTTCACGTTACAATAAATGTTTATATTACCGGATACATACCTACATAGACCGGATTATTCGTAAGCCTGTGTTTTTAAACGTAATGTACTAATGTGTAGAAGCCAGTGATATAAGTAGTATATACATTCTGAAATAAAATAAAAAACAAATGATCTTATGTAAATAACTAAATTATTGCCATATTTAGTCATAAACAAATCAATATTTAAGATACACAATTTTTGCTTTTTGCTTTGTTACTATGCACAGTGAAAATTTTTAATGGGCGTAAAAAAGGGAAGGGTTTTTTTTTGCCCGGTTTTTTTTTTTTTTTTTTTTTTTTTTTTTTTTTTAAATGGGGAAAAAAAAAAAAAAAAAATTTTATTTTAAAGGGTTTTTTTTTTTTTTTCCCCAAAAAAAGATACTAAGCAGTAATCGTAGCAGGCGTTTAGATAGAAATTATACAACCTTTGTGGTCGTAACATTTGCTTGGGGATGTAGGTCAGTGTGGCGACAGGAATTATTAAATCAATTTAAATAATTGAAAGATAATTCGTATTCCATTAATGTACCTACTTAGTGTAATATTTTGTGTGTCTTGTCGCTAAGTATAAATGCCGGTATAAAATGCAATTAATTCATTATTATTGTTCAAAGGGGCTTTTAAATTTTAAAATTCGGCTGAAAAATCTATACATTATGTTATTAACAGAATTTAAATAGATTCTAGTCTATTTGAAATGGATTACTTTATATAATCCCAGGTGATTCAACATGTATATTTAACAGTTTCACCAAGCCGTAGATACTTAAGTCGCAACGCACATTAAAAAAAACTTCAAATTTTTACGCCCGTGTGTTTTCACAGGAAGATATCGTGACACATACGAATTGGCGCATGATACGAATCGCGGAAAAAAACTAAAATTATTGACAATACTGTGTGTTACCCTTAAAGCACCGTAGAGGGCTGGTGGTGTGTTTAGTGGTTCTGGTCGGCTATACGATTTACCACACTCCCCACGTCACACTTGCCCGACGTGGGCGTGCATTAGGCATTCACACTATCAGTTAAAAAAAGTTGTTAATGACAAGCCTAGCTTTTCAATTTTATATAATCATCTTTCATCTCCAAGGACTGTTGTAACAAGTGTTTGATTGCCACTTTAGATACATACCTACGTTCAGCATCTATTCTATTTCTGTAATACGAGAAAGAATATCTATTCTTCATATATCTTTTACCTGTAAGAAGATGGCATTACCATTTCAAGTATTCTTAACTTAACATGATGCTTGTACCACAAAAGAAAGAAAGATAATGCAGGTATCGAGATCAAAGCACAGTCGAGCACATGCTTAGGCGGTCACCAAAGGCTACATAATTAAAGAATGCAGATTCCGTAAATTCCGCTGTTTTTCCGATCGCAACGATGCGGTCGGTGCTAAAACTGGGTCACTGTGGGCAGGTGTTTAGCTTGGAGCATAGGATCGGTCGAGCCCTGTTTACTACCTTCGACAACATGTTCCGAAAATGTTTACCCTGATGGGCCCTTAATTAACTATAGGGAGATGGTTGAATTGTTTGGTTTTGACGGTGTTGTTAAATTATGCTGTTTTGTCCTTACGTTATAATATCAAAGACTAAAAACATCAATTTTAATAAACCGACCATATTCCATGTCTTGAATTTCAGGATAAATCTATCTTTGAAGTTTATAGTTCTTGA